GGGGTGGAGGAGCCAGGAGCACCAGGAGCACCAGGGGTGGAGGAGCCGGGAGCGCCAGGAGCGCCAGGAGCACCAGGGCTAGATGAACCAGGTTGTCCGGGAGTGGAAGAGCCAGGAGTAGACGGAGTAGATCCGCCGGGCACGACAGGAACAACGGGCACAACGCCAGTGGGAGATCCAGGGACGGAAGGCACAGTAGTACCAGGAGCAACAGGTACCGGCTGGGTTCCACTGGGGATGCTGGTGGTGTTCAGGAAAGGTCCGGGCTTGGTGGTAGGAACAGTGCCGTTGGCGGGGATGGTGTGACTGGGGAAAGGAGCTGGGGGAAGTCCAGTGCCAATGATAGGAGCAGTGCCTTGGCTGGTGGTTGGCTTGATGGGAGCAGTGCCGTGGCTGGTAGTCGGCTTGATAGGTGCAGTTCCATGACTGGTGGTGGGCTTGATGGGAGCAGTGCCGTGACTGGTAGTCGGCTTGATGGGAGCAGTGCCGTGGCTGGTAGTCGGCTTGATGGGAGCAGTGCCGTGGCTGGTAGTCGGCTTGATGGGAGCAGTGCCGTGGCTGGTGGTTGGCTTGACAGGAATGACAGTACCAGTGGGGTTGGGCTTAGGCTGGGGCTTCACGCCAGTGGGCACTGGCTCCTTGCCGGTGGGGACAATAGTCTTGCCCTCCTCCTCGCACCATGTGGTGGTCAAAGTAACGGTGTTGGTGAGAGTGATGGGCACCGTAAGAGTCTTGTTGCCAGAGACAACGACAGTGGTGGTTTCTGAAAGCTATATTAGACACGGCCTGCTTGAGAAAGTACGCGCGAGCATAACGAACCTGGGGTCTCAGTGGTCACATAGGTAGTAGTCTTGGTGATGGTACGGGGAGGGTCGGTGGTGAGTACAAGCTTCTTGGTAGTGGCTGGCTTCTTCTCGTCGGGCTGGAGGCTTCTTAGCATGTCAATCGGAATGGGTACGCGTTTGCATTAAGCTTACCTCTCCGCCACGCCCTTGGATGACACCGGCAAGGGCTGGGGCAGCCAAAGCCAGGAGTGCAATAGTTCCCTTGACCATTTCGAAGGTTGGAATTTTTTTTGATGCGAAAGGCTCAAACAACACAGCTTTTAATATAAACGAGAGATGAAGAAGGAACAGCGAGTGGCTTCCGTACGGCACAAGGTGGAATAGAGAAGGAAGAAACGATCTGATGAAGCAGAATGTCTCGACCTTTAAATCTTCTCGACGAAGAGCCTGACGACTATGCACACGACAGTCGTCACTGACGATGGTGATAATGCCACAGTAGTATCCTTTGGTTAGCGAAGTACGGCGCAAGTGTTGTAAGGTTCAGGAGCAAAAGTAAAGCTCATCGATGCTAGCTCTGGTAGGCTACGAGACGCAGCTTGAGGCTAACCAAGCCATGGATGCGAAAGGGACCACCGATGTGATGCTGTGCGTCAAGCCAAAGGGTCTCTCAGATGGCGAGCTGTTGCGCGAATGTAACGTCTTGCTACATCTTCTTGGGCAGAGGCCCACAGTACCCACGTCAGTGAGCCACGATCCTCGGACACGATGCTAGATGGCTGTACTTAGATAGGAAGTCAAGAGCAGTATTGTCGTCATGACTTTGCGCGAGTACTCCGGTTTTCAAATTGGGAAGCTGGAAACCCCCCGGCTATCACCGTGATCTATGCTAGTGCAAGCCAAACTAATCAAGCAAAGCGGAGACAAGCCTGCTGAGAAGGGAAGTGCTACCGGAATTTGCGTTCCATTATGGAGTATTGAGCCCTGAAAAGCTGAGTTAAGCTTGTAGAAATGCATGGATTGGCTCGCAAGGCTCTGTAGCTGACACATTCGAAAAAGCTTTGCAGGAATGTGGAGTCGCTCGAGGTCCGCCTGCCTGTAACGTTGCAGGTAAGTTTGTCGGGTCAAGGATCAGGGCAGGGACAGAAAGCAAGAAAGCAAATAAAGCACGGGCAGTACAGGCATATGCTCACGAAGTACATTAGGTAGCTGGTTTGAGCATTCTATCTGGACAATGTAGTCCATATGGCCTTATGACGAGATCCAGGTCATGGCATCATTAAGGAATGTCAATCGAACCCGAGATAGGTCGCTGTCACACAGTCGAATAGGCTATCTAAGAAAACTTCAAGGCCCATCGAGCTTCGAAGGATCTGGCGCCGTACTGTGGAGCGGCCGTTTTCGAAGCTGGCGAGAGAGTCGTTGAGATGAGAAGCCGGTAATGTTTCATTGGAGTGAGTGGATAATGTGGCTACCTAGGTAGTCGCTGTGAGAGCAATGTAAGACGTCATTGAAGCAAAGCTCGTTGAGCCTCTTGACAGGAACCATGGCCGCAAGCGGCAATAGCAGATGGCAAGTGTTCCTGCAGGGGTGGTACCAGACAGAACTTGGCAAACATGATTGTGAAGCTCTGCAGGAGCCAACCTTAGTATACTTCGTACTTCGTACTTGGTCGCTTTCTCGGTGGGTCGGCGGTACCTTGCTGACTCATCGCCGTTTGCAGCAAGGTATCACGTGGAGATAAGCTCCCCTCAGCTCAGCTATCGTATCAGGGCTTAGGGCAAGCGGCGCGTGGGAACGCGTCTTGGAGCGCGTTAATGGTTTTACTGTGCTGCGGTAGCTGAGAGATGGATGCAGTGAACAACAAGACAATCCACAACATCACCCCTATGATGCCTCACTCAGTGCCCTCGCAAGGCTCGTCAGCCGATCGCAAAGATGAGGAGGTTCTACCAGACGCTCCGCCAGCGGAGAGCACCTCCGAAGATAAGACCGATGCACCCGACAATGCAGCAGCAGGCGTAAAATTAGAAGACCTGTTCAATGACGACGACGATGATGAAGAATACCCAGCTTCTAGCGCTCCAGTTGCTCAGAATCAGGACACGATGCAGACAGAGTAGGTTTCGCGCCGACACTCACCAAGGCATTCCGGTACTGATAGAAGTTACTCGTTCAGCGCCGTCCCTGCTCCCGGTCCAGAGGTTGACACAGACACCATGCTCGCATTCTACCAACGCCTCTTTCCATTCCGCTACCTGTTCCAATGGCTTAATCACGGAATTGTTCCTTCACTCGATTTCGGCAATCGCGAATTCGCCCTCACACTCCAGAACGACGCCTACCTCCGCTACCAATCATATGCAACGGCAGATCTGTGAGTACCACGGGATTGATGCACAAGTGCCATATCAGAACTCTGTTCTAACGGGTTGAAAGCTTTCGCAAGGATATCATCCGGATGAACCCGTCTCGATTCGAAATCGGACCTGTCTACAACACCAACCCCCGAGATCGCAAGACGCTCCGCGGCGGCCAGTTGAAGCCTATCTCCAAGGAACTCGTCTTCGATATTGATCTGACGGATTACGATGACATCCGCTCCTGCTGTACGAAAGCCAACATCTGCGGCAAATGCTGGGCATTTGTGACCATGGCGATCAAGGTCGTCGATACGGCCCTCCGCGACGACTTCGGCTTCGAGCACATCCTCTGGGTATACTCCGGTCGCCGCGGTGCGCACGCCTGGGTGTGCGACCCCCGCGCGCGCAGCCTGCCGGACGACCGACGCCGGGCCATCGCCGGGTACCTGGACGTGGTGCGGGGCGGCAACAGCAGCGGCAAGCGGGTGAACCTGAAGCGACCGCTGCACCCGCACATGGCGCGCAGCCTCGACATCCTGAAATCCCACTTCGCGCAGACGACGCTGGTCGACCAGGACACCTTCCTCGGCCCCGAGCAGGCGCAGCGCCTGCTGGCCCTCCTGCCGGACAAAGGGCTGAACGAGTCGCTGCGCAAGAAGTGGGAGTCCTCGCCCGACCGCACCAGCGCCAAGAAGTGGGCCGACATCGACGCCCTCGCCAAGACGGGCAAGAGCAGCACCCTGAACCCGACCACGCTCCGCGACGCCAAGCAGGACATCGTGCTGGAGTACACTTACCCCCGGCTGGACTCCGAGGTCAGCAAGAAGATGATCCACTTGCTCAAGAGCCCGTTCGTCATCCACCCGGGCACGGGCCGCGTGTGTGTCCCCATCGACGCCCGCAAGGCAGAGCAGTTCGACCCCCTCTCGGTGCCGACGGTGACGCAGCTGCTCGCCGAGATCGATGCATGGGATGCGGAGCATCCGAGCACCAATGCCGGACTGGAGGCGGCCGAGGGCGAGGGTAGTGTCGCGGACTCGGACGCGAGGGGAAGCCGCAGAGTACAGGATTATGAGAAGACGAGCCTGAAACCATACATCGACTACTTCCGCTCCTTCATCGCCGGTCTTCTCAAGGAAGAGCGTGGTGGCAAACGGGAACGGAATGAGGACGTTGAGGAGACAAAGCCTGAGAGTATGGAGTTCTAGGCTTCTGAGTTTCGCCTCCTAGGTGAATGGCGGTCTTTATGGTTTTAATTCTCTCAAGCCCTAGCCTGGGTAGCATTATTTTTGGGTATGATCTTGGAGCGATTTGGGAGTATGTCCTTTGAAAGTGAATATTTCAGGCGTTCGAAGAAGGGTCACGGGGCCTTTCCCCTGTGTTTTGTGTAAATATTGTGATGGTTCTTACTCTTCTATTCATTTCCGACTGCAGACTGAGCTCAATAAGTGGTTATGAGAATCAATACGAATCAACATGAGCCATGTTTCCAGTCAAAATTACATTTTTTTGTGAAATTCGATTCTATGTTGTTACATTGTAGGACTGTCAGACGAACAGCACTACCTCATTATTGACCATAAAGCCTGCTTTGGAGAAGACAGGAGTGACAGATGATATAGTTGCGAAACTCAAAACGCATCATTCAATAGCATGCTGTGCAGGAATCGGGAAGAAGAACGTCCGTGTCCGCCTGATCTAAGCAGAAACGAAGTTCTTGACATCTGAACAGAGGTTTAGCAAATGCTTATAGGGAAGTAATATCGGTGGGTCACGTACTCTCGAGCCAGCGGACGTACTCCTTCTGCTCCTTGACCTGGATGTAGTCGGGGATCATGGTGGCAAGCTCGGCGTTGATGCCTCTCACGTCAAGGTAGCGGTCAATGAAGTTCTGAAGCTCCTCGTCGAGGTTCTCGAAAGGAGGACCGGCGTACAGGCTCTGTCTGGCCCAGTCCTTCTCGGCGGTCTGGGCAAGAGCCAGATCGGGCTTGTTGAAGTAGGAGACCTCCTCAACCTGGAACACGCCATCGGTGCACATGGTCTGGATCAGGAGAGCGCCGCTGCCTGGCTTCTCAATGGTGATGTTGACACGAGCGGGGAAGCCGGGCTCAAGGTCGTCGATGCCGACCTCGTCGCGGTCGGAGGGAGCGATACGGTCCTCGGGAAGCTGGGAGATGCCTGCGCGACCTTGGTTAGCAGGCTGGTGGCTTCCGAAGTCGTTGGCGTCCATCAGACCATCAGCGGAGAAATCCTCCTGCTCGCTCAGGTTTTCGAGGTCTGCAACGGTGAAAGTAAGGCGGATCCTATAGAGAAGTACAAACGATTAGAATAATTGTTAAAGAGGAAAACGCGGGCACAAGCTTCCTTACTCTTCCTTGCCGAACTTCTTGGTCAAAGTGACTTCCTGCTCGCCGGGAATATCCTTGACCTGGAAAGAACCATGATGTGTGAGCTAATGCAGTCAGAACAACGATTGTCCGACAGCACGTACCTCCCAAGAGTTGTTTTGCAGAACATACTGAATGTTCTGAACGGAGCCATCCAGGTCCTCAAGGCCGGAGGCCTTCTCGTGCTTGAGCTCATCCTCAAGCTTGGCAACAAGCTCGACGTCACCTATTATGCTCGTACAACAGGTAGTCAGTTTTGTGCGCCATAAAAAGTCATCTGCAGTGCATGACCGAAGCTTCCAATGCTTGAACGGGACAGGAATTTGAATACAAGGTGATGGGTAGAAGCCCGAAAAACATGAGAGAAAAAATGGAATCGATGCGCTCGAATGGGAGGCTGCAGATTACAATATTTCATCCCGGGAAAATTCTCTTACCCTCGCCGGGGGCCTGCTTGAAAGCCCGGGAGGTCGAAAAAGCAGCATAGGCAGGCTTGGTGATCTGCTTCAAGGTGAAAGCATTCTGAGAAACAGCGGCAACAGGTCTGGAGACAGTTGCGCGGGTGGAAACTGCGAGAGAACGCGCAATGGAGCGGGGGGCGGAGCGAGTAAGAGTGCGAAGAGACATCATCTTGAAGATAGTGGATGGATGGTAGATGGATTGAAGCTGAAAGTCAAATGGGAAAAATGAATGGGGTGGGATGATGGTAGGAATGCGGAAGAGGCAAAGTGATGATGTGAACAAGAGGAGCCTGGAGTCTCAGGCATCTCCACTTTCCAAAGCTCTTCCCGTGCCAAGACCTGGAGCTCCATCCATGAAAGTACAGCACAGTGCGTACTTCATTTACTGGTGATTCAAGAAAAACCATATGATATGATATGTGTGTACATGTGAATTATATGCAATCATAACGCCATAGTCCCATGAGATTCCCGCGACAAAGCACCCAACTTTTTGCAACTCGGAACACAGAAGACGAACAAAATCTTTCAAGACATTCCCTTGGGGGGAAATACTGAAGGCTGCTTGCCTCCATCCTTAGTGATCCGGATGAACTTCATCGTGCTCAAGCCAGACCAATCGCCATTCCAAGCCCTAAGCGAGTTGATCACACCCTGCTCACTGAGGTCAGGCAACCAAAATCCCGTCTTAAACTCCTTGTTCTCGACATCGGTTCGCTGCAGCAGCGCTTCTTCCCGCTTGCTTGGGGGTCTGCCTTTCCGTCTCTCGCTCTGTAACTGCTCGATTTCGGGCACACTACGGTTGATATACCTGGTTTGTACGTGAGCATTCAAAGCGCACGAAGCTATGATTGGCCCTTGCGCCGCCGGCACATACCTCACCACGATATCCTTCATCTCGTCTTCCGACATGGGTGTCGCATCCACGGGCAGGGTCTCGTAGAAGTATGCAATGCGGTCGACTGTGTATCATGGGATCAATTAATGAAAAGTCCTTGGAGCGAGACAAGAGTGGCGCAGTGCTAGGCCCTCACCATAGGTTTGTCTGCCCCGCGACATATTGGCGGACACTCGAGCGACTCGGTCATCTCTAGCGGTGGCGCGGCGTAATCTTCTGGCATCTCTGCTGAACTCGTGAAGAGCCTCAACCGCTCCTCTCTTCTTCGCAATGTGCTTGTGTACTTTCTGTAGCGTCTTCGGCATGGTGACGTTTTGTTTCTCCTGTCTGATTTTAAATTGTTGCAATGTCGTCCAGTTTATCAGCGATTTTTTTCCCCTCGGCGAATTTCTTTTTTTTTCGGCGGGCAGAATGCAATGGCGGTGAGGAAGAGTACTCAGGCCGCTCACATGAAACCAATCAGAATATGAGATGGCTTCCCTCGCCCCATCGCGTTCCTGGCGCGTCGGAGGGGATGAAGATCAAGCATTCCAACCTCGTTGTCTAGGTCATTGTCGTTTGCTGGTCGCTTAGGGGTGGGACGTCTTTTTCCATCATTTGATTAGGAGCCTTTCCATGGTCCTCGCCCTCATCATCTGGCTTGACCCCTGAGCACCTACAGCCGGAGCAGATCTCTGTCTTGGCGTGCCGGTATAGAGAGCGCGGCCTGCCATCTCGTCAATAGGGTACTGATAATGGGAATTAAAGGTGACCCTTGTCTTTGCGAAACCGCTTGGGAGTCGTCTCTAACTATTCGTGTTCCTTCTAGGCCTTCATGTTCTTCTTAAATCAATCCAGAAACCATGTCACCTGAAAAGTTATAGTGGGCAGACCTTGGGAGTCGATGCCTACGGATGGCTACATCGTGGTACGGTCGCATGCGCCGTGGATTTGGTCTTGGACAAGCCCACACGAAAGTACGTACCTGTAGGCTTGCCATCTGACTGCTTTCCGCTAACATACATGAAAGACACATTGACTTTGTTCTTAATCGGGTTCGCATGCTTATCTACTTTGGAGTGACGCCATACCTTGTATTCGACGGAGATAATCTTCCTAGCAAAGCTGGCACTGAAGATCGACGCCAGAAAAGGCGACATGACGGCAAGTCACTTGGGATGGAATTGCTCCGAAAAGGCCGCACGAAGGAAGCCTACCAGGAACTACAGAAGGCGGTCGACGTGACTCCTCTGATGGCGCGTGAGTTGATCGAAGAACTGAAGCAAATGAATGTGCAGTATGTGGTAGCTCCGTACGAGGCCGATGCACAGTTGGTATACTTGGAGCAGCAGGGTATCGTTCATGGCATTATCTCAGAGGACTCCGACTTGCTTGTATTTGGCGCCAAGCGCCTGCTGTCCAAGCTTGATCAACATGGTGACTGCATCGAGATCAATCGGGCGGACTTCGGGGCTTGTCGGGACGTCAGCCTGATAGGATGGTCGGATGATGACTTTCGACGCATGTGCATTCTCGCCGGTTGCGACTATTTAGCCAATATTCCACGGATGGGTCTGAAGACGGCTCATCAAAGCATACGGAGGTACAAAAATGTCGAGAAAGCCGTGCGGATGCTCCAGTTTGACGGCCAGTATCACGTTCCTGCGGATTACTTGAAGAGTTTCAAGGAAGCGGAGCTTACTTTTCTCTATCAGCGAGTCTATTGCCCCAAGGCCGAAAAGCTGGTGACGCTCACAACACCTGAAAGTGATGTCAATCTAGAAGAGTTGACCTTCATCGGCGGTGATGTGGAGCCTGAGGTTGCGGTGGGAGTGGCTCGGGGGGACCTGGATCCAGCGACCAAGCAACCTCTGGTATTGAAGCCGCCAGCTGCAGCGAAGTCTACCGAGAAACGACTCACAAGCACTTTCCAACGTCGACAAACACTTGGATCAGCGGCCGAGTTGAAGCCCAACAAACCCATCAATTCTTTCTTCACTCCAAGACGTACGCCGTTAGCTGAACTCGATCCGAATAGCCTCACGCCGTCCCCAAGCCAGCAACGGCTCCTCGAGCGTCACGCTAATACCTCCTGGGAGAGTACTTCCGTTCCGACGCAGCCAACCCTGATGAGGTCAGCCTCCTCTGCTACGTTGTCGAGCAGATTCTCCAGTCCCTTGATGAGAAGTGTCGAGCGGGACTCTTTTAATCCTCACGCCTTGAGGCTGTCTGCTCTGCAACCCTCTAAGCGACAGCGCCTCTGTTCAGATATAGATGAGGGACAGTTGCCAAGCGCATCTACTTGTCGCAGTCGATTCTTTACAAACAGTACTGATGAGTCTAGCCCGAGCGGACTCAAGATCAATCGAACTAAGAAGGCTCGGAAACACTCTCTGGACGTCTTCTCGGATGATTCTGTAGAGGATATGATGTCTCAGATTCCGGATCCTGCCGAGACACCTGCGAAAGCTAAGAGCGATGAGCACCAAGACACGGGGCCAAGTCAACCCCTCGACGCATCAGATGTGCCCCCGCAATCCACGAAAGCTGATGCCGAGGATCACCTGGATCACAGGTTGGAGCAGAAGCAAGAAGTGCCGTCGGATTCCATTCAACTTACTGAGAGCAACCCCAGGGCTGTCAGTCTGGAGTCCAATCCGGAGGAGTTCCAGAAAGTTCTCGACTATCACATCGAGAAGCAAAACTCAGGGCTGCTTTCGAGGTTTGCATTCCAGCGGAGAGGCAGCAGCGTTCGCTCGGAGAGTGTCACTCGGACAGAACCCAATGCAAGGCCCATGCCAGTTATCTCCTTCTCAAAAGCGAAAGCACCAATGGACCTGAGAAGCGGAAGTCCACGGACGCCGCCTAGACGTGGACGGACAACGCCCTTGCAACGACTGGGGCAAAGTGCCCTGGCTAGGTCTCGATCTCTTAACCATCTTTCGTCCTCTCTCGCCGCATTTCGGGCATCAAAAGTCTCGCTTACTCCATCTGAGCCCAACAATAGCAGTCTCGGTAGCACCCAGAATCTTATGCCGACCTGCCATGGGAGTGAAGACATGATCATTCCGGATAGTGAAGACGATGAAGACGATCTGGAAGAACCCGACGCTAATGCGAATGGAGGCTTGCAGACCCCAGTCGCTATTGATCTCAAGCGTTTCTCCTTTGTAGGTTGAGACAAACTCTTGGAGTGCTTGGGGGACAATCGACTTATCATTATCATTATAGGAGTTCTTGGGAGCATTGTTAGTTTTGTGTATCATGGCATTGGGTGGGTGATTTGACATACAGTACAGTACAGTACATGACCGAGAGGTGCTTGGCCGTATAAATAATAGGATCTACATGGGATTGACCGTATACCCCTTAGTTGCAAAGCATCTGGCCAGACTATGACATAAGTTGGTGTTTGGGTGTGCTTATTTCCATGGAAAAGTTGGAGGCTGGGGGGGAGTGGGCACGTGCCGATAAGATGATGATCGGGGGGCTTAGCGCGATCAGTGGAGTTCACGGCGGATCCAATGGAGTGAAATGACGGCGGGCGGTGTGGACTGGTTACCGGGGAACAGACGCGGTAAACAAACGGGAAGTGGCAGGCAGTGGCCCAGCCTCCCGCTTTTGGCCCTTCTTCGGGCTGAAGTAGAGCATTACCTAGTTATTGTATGAGTGCTCCGAAAAGCACTCCACACTATCTTCCCAGCCTCCTCATTATTATCCCACCCTTTCCAATCCAGCTTCATTGACTGTTCTGGCGCGTCAAGGCACAATTCTGTCGGGTGGACTGAACCTTGGAAACCTGCTCCAGCTGAGATCTTACTCTCCCCCCTTCCTCTCTCCTGCCTGCACTCTCCTTTCCCCATTCCCTTGCCCTCCGCTTGCCTGTTTTTGGCAGATATCCAGTCCCTCCACTCGAAGCCCACCCAGCCCAGTTGGTGACTCTCTTTGTACAATTCTAACCACCATTATCCACTATTCAGGGCTCTCCGTGGGACTTGCCAGTCATACATTCTTTGGATCTCGATCTTGATAACGGTTCCGGCCCGTTGTCGCATTGCAACTCCTGTGCTCAACATTCCGGACAATCGCTGCATATCTCTCAGAGACATTGACGTATTCCCTCAGCGCCGGGAGCACGAGTATCGACATCAACACAAAAAGCTCCACTTCTCTCAAAGGAGGAGAGCTTCTCATCATACTTGATCTGTCAGTTGGGTGGTAGTGTCAAAGAGGTGCGCAGCAACCGGCGCAGACTCCTTCTCGGGGTTCCGAGAAGTGAGTCTTGGATCAGAGACACGGGGAGACGACACCTGGACAATCCAAGATGCCTAAAATCGGTGACCGGCTAGCCCGTACGTATTTCGGTTCTCGTTTCGAAAACATGCATGAGAATATTGACGCTTGACCCTGCAGGGCTGCTACCAATGATCGGTTACCACCACGTGCTGATGATTATCATTGCTGTCGCCATCATCCTTCTATGTCAGTAATTTTCCGGTCACCCATGCTCTGGAATGCGACTAACGTTGATCAGCCCTACTATTGGCAGGATGCTCATCGTCCTCACCCCAGATCCCTAGCATATTCCTGATATCACTATACTACGAACGATACTCACCGACATTCAACCTGGCGCAGGTAGATCCTGGCGTGGTTACAGCAACGGCGAACATTGTAGGAGGAGCCGAAATGGAAGTCCGTGTGGGCTACTTCGGTATTTGCGTGCAGCCAGATGCGGGATCATATATCTGCAATGCCAATGCGACCGCCTTGGCCGAGATTGTCACGGTCGATCAAGACCCTCTGAACCTGATCTGGGTTGCGTCAACGTTCAAAGATGCTGTTGTGTTTCCGTACCTACTGTACGTTCTCCCTTAGGCTTTCGTCTCGTGTGTGTCTTGCTAACTCGCGGTAGCATTATCGCCGTCATCCTCGCCTTCTTCTGTTTTATCCTGCTGGCTACCTTCCCCGGATGGCACGACGAGCTCGATGCTAGTGGTTCCGAAGTTGAAGCCAAGCCGTTTCCTTCGCGACCTGTCTCGCAAGCCGCCCTGGCTCTCATCTTCGTCGCATCGGTCTTCGTCCTCGTCTCCGTTCTCTGGCAACATACCGCATCCGTCGCCGCGAGCACCATCGCTCAGGACATGGGCAATGGTAGTGTGAAGAGTGGTGTTGGCACCTCTGCCATGGTGCTGGGCTGGTTTGGATTCGGTCTCATGGTGGTCGTGACGATAGGTCTTCTCGTCATGATTCTCAGCATCAGCCTCATCAGACAATTGACGGACGAAGCATAGTCGCGTTGACATGCCAACTTGAATCCTCATCAATTTTTTTTATTGCACTTTGATTCCCCACTCTGATTTTCAACGCTACGCATTCCCCCTTCATTCATCTCCCTCGTCTTCATGCGATCACCACGCCCCAGAGACGGCATATACAACGAGCAGCACGTGAATAATGATGCATATTGAGATTTGGAACATGGGCTTTTTCTCTCTAGTTTTTTATACGAGTTTATGGACACGGACATTTGGAAAGGGAATACGAGTTACGGTTACGGTTTTTCATTTTGTTTGTTTAAAGAAGTCATCACGAAGAAGAAAAATGCCTAATGAACAATATGCGGCCAACAACAGATCAAGTCGGCCGTTCAGTCTCCTTGAGCTTAGCTTAGCTCACCTCATTCGAAACAATCAATCCACTATAAATTTATGTTTCGTCCGCTTTCTCTCCTCCTACCCTCTATAACCTTCCTCCGGCGGGAAAGATCTTGTTGGCCGCGATGCTTGTGTTCGCTTTGTCGTTGGCCTTGTACAGAACACTTGTTCAGGTTGCTTCACGTTATCTTGTGGCTGCGGAGGGGACACTGGGTGGATTTGGGTTGTCAATAGTTTTGTTATTGTCTTGTCTTCTAGATTATGAATTTGATGTGGATTCTTTGTGTTTACTGCTAATGAGAGTCGATCTGCGTGAAGAAATCCAATGGATAGTTGCGGGACGTCACATGCATTATCCTCACAATTTTCCAGGTCTGTATCATTGACTGCAAAATCGAGCAACTCATGCTCTGTCCAGTAGAGCAACATTTACGATTAAGAACCTTTAGATCTAGATCTCTGTGAGATCTCAACTGCACCAAGAACCGGTCAGGGATATAGAGGAATAGGTGGACAGTCACATGACATGGTATTGTGATCAACAGCGTCTACTGGGTAGTTTGCTTGCGTACTATTAAAGAGGACAAAACATCCTCTCGTCGTGAGACAGGCAACGAACAAATCGCGACGACGATGACCCGGGCCGGATGGGTTACGCAAGTAATAGAGCCGCCCCCGGCTATTGTTCCTTTGGTTTAGTAGTTCATCACCGGCGGCCCACCGCCTGGTCCGGGCTTTTCCTCATAATTATTCCCTTCATACCCACCGCCGTAATCGTCTAGGGACCGGTACCCCGGCGGACCATTGTCACGGCCTCCGCTACCGCCACCACCACCACCACCACGGCCTCGACCACCACCGCCGCCACCACCACGGTTGCCGCCGCGGTTCTGATGGTGGCCGCCGCCGCCCCTGCCTCGCCCTGCCGCACCGCCGCGGCCGCGGCCGCGGAATGCGTTCCCGCGACGCGAGGGTCCACTGTCATCATGGTGATGGCGATTCCCTCCGTTGCGTATGGTATTTGGGTGCGGCTGTCTTCCGTGGGGGTGGTGGTGGTGGTGGTGGTGGTGGGATGCAGAAGCAGCGGCGCCATCATACGTTGCGGGCTGCTGCTGCTCCGCGTGCGGCGGATAGAGGATCTCCTCGTTGCGTTCCTGCTGGTGCCGTCTTTTGTTATTCTTGTTGAGGAACTGGCTCTCCCACTCGCCCTCGTTGGGGTTCTCCTCCTCGACGCGCAGGACCACCTTCTCGCCGACGACGGTCTCGACGGTGAGGGCCTTGTCGGCGGGGACGGGGTGCCAGTTCTGGATCTTGCCGGCGTCGATGGGGCGCGCGCCCTTGCGCACCGCCAGCACCACGACGGGCTGCGGGTTCTCCGTGTAGTACTTCTCGGTGGCGGGGACGGGCGCCATGCGCGCGGCCCAGACCCGGTTCTCGAAGCAGGCCGTGCCCGTGATCTGCCAGCTCAGCTTCTTGCCGATGCCCCCGACCTTGTCCAGGATCGACCGCGGGGCGGGGCGGGGCGTGATCAGGATGCTGTTGGCCATATACTTCAGGTCGTTGGAGTCCGCGAGCCCGTAGGGGAGCATGGGGGTTAGTACTTCGCGGATCAACCGGCTCGAGTCGGCGTTCGAGATCAGGTAGCCCGTGTAGAAGATGGTGCGCTTGATGCGCAGTCGACCGTACGGCGACTTGGCCTTGTTTAGTGACGGGTTGCGGGTGGTGAGGTTGTGAGAGTTGATCATGCGCTGCACTTCGGCGGCTTCCCAGACGGGGTCAAGATACATGGATCCTTCGGCGACCTGGATTACTTCCGAGGTGATCGGCTTTCTCGGGCTGGGGCCCTGCGCAGGCTGGAGCTTGCGATTCAGCTGCTCGAAGTAGTCCCGGAAGCCTTTGGCACTGGCAGAAAGGTCAGACGTTCCGGCAATATGAACGAAAAAAGAAAAAGCCCAAGACGTACTGCTTCGGGCGATCCTCATAGATGCGAAGATCTTCAGCCTGCTCGTAAGTGAGGATAAGGTCTTCCAGGAAGGTCTGCTTGAATTCCATCGTGGTTGCGAAGCGCTGATTCCTCGGGCCAACTTCCGGCTTGAGGCATATCAAATCAAACTCCAGCTTCTTGCTGCTCACCATTCGTTTGATGATCTCCGAGAATCCACTTTCACTGCGACCCGTTAGAAGCACCGTCAAGGCGTCTTTCTGCTCCATGCTCAATTTCACGAGTTGCACCTAGGGGGGAACGTATCAGCCAATTGCTGTTAGTTCACTTATAGGTTATTGTAGTGTAATGGAAGGCCACACAATCTGTTCGTTCCACCACCCCTCCCAAGCGCGCGGTTCCTCCTTCTCGATCCCTTCTCCGGTAGCCGACAGGAGGTTCGGGTCATGCCACCAACCGCCGTTCGCGAAGCTCTCATAAGCCTGAAGGAACCCGATCGTCGGACCGTTCCAGAGTTGCGGATTCGGAAGTGGGCTTAGAAATACTGGAAAGCATTAGAATGCGCGGGCGAATCAGACGGAGGTCGCAGGGCGACGGAGTGCATCCTTACATGTGTTGTCGAAGTCGTATACGTGAATAGACCTGACCTGCGGTACTGCTGTAGCGCAAGAACAGATGAGATTATCAGCCACCCGCAGCGCTATCATATTGTGGAAGCGAGATGCTCACCTGGTAGTTCTTTGTTGGTGATGGACCAGCGTCTTAGACTGGTGATGGTGCGCGCGGGCGCGCTCTGAGTGTGATTTCTCATTTTGGAAGCGTTCTCTGCGACTACGGACCTTGCAGATCTCATTACCTTCAGCATTAGTGGGTTGCGACAGACATTCGAGGGTTCACATAGGCAAGCAAAGACTCATATGTCCACAGCTACTGTGAGTCAATGTGAGGTTTCACCGCGGAGATTTCGCCGCATATCACGGAAGGCCGCCGCTGAAGAGGCGCGCTTGGCCCGCCCGCCTCCCTCTCCTTGTGGCGGGCAGTCTCGATGACTTCGGCAGGCGGTCTGGACTCGATCGGCTGCATCTGCCAGTCATAGTCCTCGACTTTCTAAGCGGTGAGGTAGACTGCAATGACGTTTGGTTCAAAGGCGGTCAGCAATGCCTCGCCCTCTTCCATCTGGAAACTTAATAAAACATCCCCACCCTCTTTTCAGTTTCATCATACCCAATTGTCCACTCGTTAACGGAATCTTTTGATGTGCGAGCGGGTGTAACTTCCATGTCCGATGATGATGGCATACGGCAGGCAATCTTGCAACGAACGCTCCAGGAGGTAGCACAAGAGGAAATTGAGAATGAGGCAAATCCGTGCGTCATCTGCCTCGAACCGGTCTCCGAAACCGCCATTGCGGTGCCCTGCAAGCATGCGAACTTCGACTTTCTGTGTCTGGTGAGCTGGCTGGAGCAGCGTCGGAACTGCCCGCTCTGTATGTACTCTCACGTATCCGAGAATTCGACTTCTGTCAAGTCTGCAAATCTGCGAAGGGTCAGGGTCTTCAGCTGACGCCAAGTTGAAGGCAAGAGCGACGTCTCCGCAGTCAGATACAACCTCGACAGCCCCCAAGGAACCAAGATCTATCACCTTCCACCTACCCCGCCAGTTAACGCCATTACATCCTCATCCCATCCACCCGCACCACCCATCCACCATCACCCATCCCGTCGCCCGCGCCGCGCTCGAAGCCCCACGAATCGACCACCGCTCCAAGCCCAACCGAGCGACGACCCCCTCCGCCGACGCCAACACATCTACCGCCACCAACTCTACTCCCTGCGCGTCGGCTCCAACCGTCTCTCCCAATACCGCGAGCTCACGCCCGACCGCTTCAACCGCGAGGAGGAGCTTGTCTCGCGCGCGCGCAAATGGATCCGGCGCGAACTCAAAGTATTCGCCTTTCTCAACCCCTCGTCCGAGCTCTCCGCCGCGGAACACGACGAGGGGATCGGTAGGGGTGCTACTGAATTGCGCTCGACGGCGCAGCGACAGCAGTCCGCACCCCCACGGGCGGGTCAACAACGACTGGAGAACCGCCGCGGCAATAATGCCGAGTTTCTTCTCGAGTACATCATCGCGATACTCCGCACGGTCGATATCAAGGGCAGCGCGGGTCAGGCGGAGGAACTTCTCCGGGATTTTTTGGGAAGGGAGAATGCGCGGTTGTTTCTGCATGAGCTGCAGGCTTGGCTGCGGAGTCCGTATACCTCGCTGGAGGATTGGGATCGGCATGTGCAGTATGAGGATGTGTCGCGACGGGAGGGAGCTTCGTCTGCGCAGAGGCGGGCTGAGGGCTCCTCGGCGTCGACGCCGGTTTATCGGGGTGGGACTTCACATCATTATCGGGGAGGTGGGAGAGGAAGAGGAAGAGGGAGGGGGCGAGTGGCTAAGCCGGCGCATTCACGGAGGCAGCCGTATCAGCGCGAAAGCCAGGAGGAACAAGCCAGGAGGGTACAGTACGCTCGGGAGCGTTATATACCAGACTAAGATATAGAAGGCTGTATTGTATATCTTGCTGCGCTGCTCGCAGCTAGGAATTATCTTGCATACTATACTATGAATGATTGATGCATGCTATAGACAAATGTATGATTTATAATACTGGTATCTTGGATGATGCAAACGAGAAGAATACGCTATTAGGTTTCATGGCTCGTGATGTTTAGGCTCTGGTATTCAACGTCGCCTGCCGAAGCGCCCGCCGCCTCGTCCCTTAAAGTTCTTGTTTCGGATTTTGAGCGACCGGTAGTTGGCGTGCGCTTCCGGATTGACCTTGCGTGCACGCGGCTGTTTGGGCTCGGGGTCCTTTGCCTGCGCCTGAGGTCGTACAGGTGGTTTCTCCGGAGTCTCTGTTGCTGGCGGTTTGCCAGCCGCTATGGCCTCCTTCATCTTCTCGGAGAAGCTCTTGCCCTTCTCTCGAGGCTGGGGTCCTTCGTCGTAGTCCGGGTCGAAGTCGGACAGGTCCGGTTCCGACATAGTGTGTAACGAATCGAGGTCGTCGAAGTCAGGAACCTCGATGTGGCTGCGGTCCAGAGGGCCGGGGGCTACGAGCGGCTGGGTTTCGCGGACGGCGGTGACCCCCCCATCAGGGCCATTATCCCTCTCGCCGTCTTCCTCTTCTTCATCCGAAAAAGACGGCAGCTCGGGCGCAGCCTGCCTCGACGTTGAAACCACCGGCTTCATGCGCACCTTGCGGGTAGTCCGCTTCTGGCCCTTTTTCTTCCAGACGGGAGCGCCCTCGTTCTCAGCCGCGGCCTGGCTATCGGTCACCTGCGCCGCGTCCATCATAGCCGCCTGCTCGGCCTCGATTTCTCGAAGAACATCCATATCGTCCTCCAACTGTTCCTCTTCCATGTCCCGCAAGCCCTTCACCAAAGCCGAGAGCCCCTTCCCGACGAACTGGGGTCGTTTCCGCGTGGCCATCGGACTCAATCCCCCCGTGATGTTTGAGGTATCGTACCGTCCCGACGTCGACCGCCGCAGGAACGACGGAGTCTCCGACCCGGGGTCGTTCGGCTCTCCCACTGCCGCCACTGGAGCCCCCTCTGCCGCCGCCGCCGCCGTCCCTTCCGCAGCAGCAGCAGCAGTCCCTTTATTAGACCCATCATCCATCATCGTCGCATACCGCCAGGTAGTCGGAGTAGCAAACAGCGTCGACAGCATCCACTTCTTCCCGGACGAAGTCGGCGTCCTCCCCAGCCTGGAACTGTCATCATCATCCTCACTCTCACCATCATCTTCCGCTTCCTCTCCTTCCTCCGCAATCGTATCCATCTTCTCCCTCTTCTGTTTCAGAGATCTCCTCCGCCTCGACGGCGTCCGCACACTCGCGTCCTTCAAACCAGCAATCCTCGTCGCCGACGGCGTCGCCGTACTCCCACCGGACTCCGACAGCAGATCAAATAGCCCCAGCGCCTTGCCATCGCGCTGCGGCGTCGGCCCGATCGCCGCCTTCAGCGGCGACAGATGCGTGCTCGGGCTGAACAGCCGCCGCAACACCGACGGCGAGTCGTACGGGTCGACCTCCGCCGGATGAGAGGTCGATTTTCTGGATGGCGTCTCGAAGGCCCCGGCTCCGGCCCCGGCCCCGCTTTTGTCTGTCTTCTTCCGTGGGGTGGTGAGGTTATCCGAAGACCCATGCGGGGAGGTGTGTTTTCGTTTCCTTTTGTGGTGTCGTGCGTTGTCCTCTGTTGTTCTGGGAATGCTGGTTGAGGATGATGTTTCGAGGGCTTTAAGGCGGGAGTATTCTTTGTATTTGGCGGCTGTATGCAAATAGGGGTGGGCGTTAGCTGAGGGTCAAGATTTTATCGTTCTGGTGGGGAAGGGGAATAGGCGCTTACCAATTTCAGGTACCTTCTTGATATCACTTCGATCGGCTTTTCTGCCTCCGTTGGCGTCGGCGAATGCTCGTTCCCATTCTTTGAGCTCCGCGCGGAGGGTGGTGGAGGAGGGGGTTGCTGAGGATGGTGGTATGGTGGTGGCCATTATTGCATGTTGAGGATCTATAGTGCCGTTATCTAGGAGGATGAAGTGGCTGTCAAGGTTTGTGTCTGAGGAGAAGGGATTGCTCAGGCGTGGTGGTGGTGGTGGTGGTGGTGGTGGTGGTGGTCCGGCTGTTGGACCCGTCGCGTCCGCGAAAATCAATTAACGCGGGTTTTGTGCAGGGCGGGCTGACGTAGCGTGTCTCGGTCCCCGGCTTTCACTTCCACGTAGTACTCCGTAAATGTTTATGGATCGAAGTCTATTTCGTTTTACTGCACCGTACCTGAGACTCAATTATTTTTATGAATTTGTTGGGTATTAGCTAAGTATACAGATTTAATCATGATCACTGAGAAAAATATCTATCACCAACTCGTCAACCCACGACATCGATCGAACCCACCCCGTAACTGGGAGTCAGGATGCACCACCTTTCCCTGCAGAAGCGTGTACTTGACGATGCCCTCGCAGTGCTCCGGGCGGATCCGGGCCAGCCAGATCATCTGCTCCTGCGCCTTCCGGTAGACCAGTACATTCGCCGAGAACTTGTGGCCGCCGACATGTGAGACGAAAAAGATGCCCACGCCGCCGGGCCGCTCGTCGGTCGCGTCGCGATACAGCCCCAGCGGCCGCAGGTGTCGCTCCAGCTCCTTCCTGATCAGCGGAGCGGTGATCCCGCAGCGCGCGTCGCGCCGTCGGTGGGAGCAGAGCAAGACCACGTAGTCGTACTGGCATGGTCGCGGGGCCAGTCGCGATGCGGGATCGTGGGCCATGAGGCCTTTGTTGGAGAGCGGGGCGTCGATGTATCGGTCTACGACCTCGCGTACGTCGGCTTTGTGCACGGAGTCGAGAAAGGTGAAGGAGGGGAGGAGGAGGATCGGTGTCCCGTTGTTGTTGTCGTCTTCTTCCTCGTGGTGGTGGGCTTGGAGATTCGAGGCTGAGACCATCATGCGCTAGGTTTCTCCCCGTCAGCGATCATTCATTCTCACTCAGCGGACCTGGCTTATGCTGAACACCGGATCTGAACATACTCCGTGTTTTGACTGGTTGGAGGAAGCGTCAAATGCCTCCATGAGTGATCCCTTCTCGTTCTCGACATGTTCGGTCCAGTCCGACTTCCCTGTCGCGACTAAGACGTGCGTGTGGAATTCTTTGATGTGTCCGTACAGCGGCCGGGAGGTCTCGACCTTCACCTTCGAAGGGAATTGTACCGTGCAGTCGGCGCAGTCTTGCTTGCAGTCGGGCCCGTCTTGCGTGGGATCCACGCTGGGGAAG